CATTGCCCACCCTGCAGATGCATATAAAGAAGCGGGATGCTTGGGCTGACGTCAATGACCATATATGGCCCCATGCCCATATTAGGCTGAACCGCCGACATGAACAATCCCATTCCTATGGGGCCGTTTATGCGATTGCGCGTCCCCTTGAATGGAAACACCATGATCAGTGCTTTTTTTTGGGCGTTTTTGTGTTTCAGTGCTGAAACGCGATTAAAACCGCCCCAAACCACCCTTTTAAAATTAGCACGGAAACCGCGCTGAAATGCATCCACCCTGGTGTGAATGGGGCCTTAGGGTATGCTCACAGCAGCAGCCCGAGTGGTTGAGCGTGTCCTCTGACAGTGCAACATCACACGGATTCTTTTTTGGGGGGGGGGGGGTTTTGTAAAACTTTATTGAAATGTCTCAGGTGACATTTCATTCAGTTCTATGAGCTCACCGCTATGCAACGTAGTGCATCTCTTTGCAGTGCACTTAAAAAAAAAAAAGGACTGCATGCCATACTTTTTATGCGGTGGTATGAACTGAGCCATGACGAGACAAATTGCCTTGTCTTGTGTTCAGGCTGCGCTGGAAAAAAATGGCCAACCCAGCCCAAACGCACATGGTGTGAACCAGCCCTCAAAGTTGGTGAAATAAAATGTAACTGCATGTTCACATTCACCAATATGTCATGTTTCCTACAATCACTGCTTACTACTTTCCACTTACAGAATTAACTAAATATGTAATTTGGCCAGGGGCACCCGAACATTAGCAGGCCGCTGTTTATGTACAAGGAGCAGCCAAGTTTGCTAATTACACAGTCAGGTTATGGTCAGCGCTTGCCTAAAATCTCTGCAGCGGCTTCTCTGGGGATCGGGACAGAGAAGAGTATTTGGGAAGGATAGTTGCAGCAAGGAAAGAGCGGCCACATTTCAGGGGGGAAGAGTCCTGCTTGCATCTCCTTTCACCAATACCTGTTTTTCTGTACCACCGAATACCGATTTTTTTGGGGTACTCGCAGATACCGAGTAGGGCTGCAACAACTAATCGACATAATCGATTGAAAAAGTTGTCAACTTTTTCAATCATCGATTACTCAGCTTCTGGTTAGTTGGCCCTGTTCACTGCTCCACACACGTTGCACGTCGCACCTCCTCCCCACCTCACGCTCGCCCGCATACACACGCCGCACCTCCTCCCCGCCTCACGCTCACCGCCCTCCCACATCTACGATCGGCACAGGGACGCGGGGAGAAGAAGTAAGGAGGAGCAGGTGTGGGGGGATGACAATCGCCGATAGACAGGCCCGATCTCAGAAGCAAGTTGCTGGAAGACTGCTCAGGTACGCCTGCACTCCCCCCCACATGGTGCTCTATAATATATTGCTGGGATTTGTATTCCTCTATAGCTGCTGGTACATTGTGCTGTATATTATACATAGCAATACAAATCCCAGCAATAGTACATTATACACTGTATGTATTATGTACTATTGCTGAGATTTGTTGTATCCCTCTATACCTGGTGGTATTCTGCATTGCGCTGTATAGAGGACTACAAATCCCAGCAATAATACATAATGTATTGCTGGCATTTGTTGTATTCCTATATAGCTGGTGGCATTCTGCATTTTGCTGTATAATATATTATTGCTGGGATTTGTTGTACTCCTCAGTAGCTGGTGGTATTCTGCATTGCGCTGTATAATGCACTTTTGCTGGGATTTGTAGTCCTCTATAGCCGGTGCCATTCTGCATTCATTGCTGTATAATTTTACACTTTTCATTTCACTATATTGCACACCACACTTTTTTTTTTTCTTATTTACTTCCACCGCTCCAAGCTTGCTCCTGTGATGGGACTACAATCTCAAAACAAACTAGTAGTCCCATCACTGGAGCCGTTTTTTAAAATGTATTTTATGTTATTTTTTATCCGATTAATCAAACTCAATAATTGGCTAACTAATCAATTTTGAAAATAATCGTTAGCTGCAGCTCTAATACCGAGTACGTGTGCCGTGTGCCATGTGCCCCGATTATCAGGAAGTCGGGCGGCAGATCATGACCCGTCGTAGGGCTTCCTGATTGCCTGTGAAGCCGGTGCTCTAGCAAAAGACCACCACCTTCACTTGCCGAGGCTGCCTGACAAATCAGGATGCCGGACGGCGAGTTATGAGGTGCTGTCCATCAACCTGATTGGTCAGGAAGCCAGACTGCCTAGCAACAAGTGAAGCCGGCATCCTAGCCAATCAGGAAGCTGGGCGGCATGTCATGACCCGCCTCCCTGATTGGCTAGGAAGCCGGCTAAACTTGTTCCTAAGCAGCAAGGCTTCCTGGCCAAACAGGAAGCCGGGAGGCAGGTCATGACGTACAACCCGGCTTCCAGATTGGTTAGAAAATCCAGGCTGCCTAGCAACAAGTGAAGTCCGCTTCCTAGCCAATCAGGAAGCCGGCAGGCGGGTCATAACCCACTGCTCGGCTTACTGATTGGAAAGGAAGCAGGCTCCATGTGCCCCGGTCAGAGAGAGATCTCCCTCTGACCGGAAGTTCGGTATCGGAGGTAAGTATCGGAACACACACACACGAAACTCGAATAATTAGAATATCGTGCAAAGTTCATTTATTTCACTAATGCAACTTAAAAGGTGAAACTAATATATGAGAGAGACTCATTACATGCAAAGCAAGATAGTTCAAGCCGTGATTTGTCATAATTGTGATGATTATGGCTTACAGCTCATGAAAACCCCAAGAACCCCAAATCCACAACCTCAAAAAAGTAGATTATTACATGCAATCAATAAAACAAGGATTGCACATAGAACAATATCGGACCTCTGAAAAGTACAAGCATGCATATGTACTCAGTACTTGGTTTGGGCCCCTTTTGCAGCAATTACTGCAATTACTTTTGCACGATATTCTAATTATTCGAGTTTCACACATA